ACTAGCTAAATGTAGCGTTGGCTAGCTTGGAGGAAGCGCTATTACGTTTGAGTACATCTCGCTAATAACAACACAGGTCATGTTAAAACACCTGTACCAGGTTTATCGTTACTGCTACAGCTAGTTGAACATTAATGTTGTGGACTAGCTACAGAACAAGTTGCCTACTAGCCGTCATGTAAATATTAGCTTAGCTATCTGCAGCGTTAGCAAAAGCTGTTAATGCAGGCTTACTTTGTTGGGTAATTCAGTTTTGTACAAATGTATAACACTGTTAGCGTAACAGCCTTTTCATTGTGTTAAAAAAATGTAACTGTTCCTCTCCACAGATAATGCCCACAATAAAATTACAGAGCTCCGATGGGGAAATCTTCGAGGTGGATGTGGAGATAGCCAAACAGTCTGTCACCATCAAGACCATGTTAGAAGGTATAACTTCTGACTTCATCGCAAACTTTTGAGTCCACAGTGTCACTTCACGGCTGACTCTGTGTGCCATCTGTCATTTTCCCCTTACATGATGTAAGGGGCTGTGTTTTAATTCAATAAATGCACATGTTGGTAGATCTGTGACATTCATTGATTCTCTGACAGATTTGGGAATGGATGATGAAGGAGATGATGACCCAGTTCCTCTCCCTAATGTAAATGCTGCCATCCTCAAGAAGGTACAGAACACACACACTTACTCACCACACCCCCATGTTTTTACCATTTTTGTATAATATTATTTTATGTGTTGTGAAAGCAGAATTGCACATTGTTTTCCTTGACAGATATGTTGACATGATGGTTACCTGAATGAGTTGATTTTGTGTTGTAGGAAATGACAAAATAATAAATATTTTACAGATGGCTTGTTTTAGTGCATTAACATGGTCTCACTGTCACATTGAATCTTTCAGCTGTGGTTTGGGTGGGGTTTTTTCTCTGCTTCAGGGAACAAACACCGGTTAATGATTGCCATCTGTGATTTAAATTTAGTTGATGCTGCTTAAGGTAGAACATTGACACTGACATTTGGATATTTTGCCCACATAGTTGCCAGTTTATTAGGGTTTTTTTTAACAAGTTTTCAAGCTGTTTTAGGTGGTGATTGAGCTCATTTTGGAGACTAGTTTGTGATGCTTCTGAATTGTAATGCTTCATACTGAAGTGTTCTAGTATTTTGAATAGTTTACCCTCATTGATATAAGTGAGTGGACAAATTATCAAACACATTTCACTTTCAACAAAAACTATACATTATATGTATTATATGGTATTAAAGTTCCTTTGTTTTTAAGCTAGGTGGACCAAAAAACCCAAAACAAAACTGGTGACTAAGTGTAGTTTGTCTTCACATCCCATAAAGATGATAGTCACATATTTACTGTTCATCTATCACACACATGAAGCACAACCTATGTATTCCCTTCTTGCTCTTCTTAAATTATTCTTGCCTGTCAAGTTATCACATTTGTGGGAGCAGGAGGCTGTGAAGGCTTGTTTTTTTGCCTCCTCTACAAGTTCATGCTTGTGCTTCAGAGCTGCAATTATTCCTAACAATAGGGGTTTTAAGAATCTTTAAGTCACAACTCAGTTGCTGATGAACTTGCCGATTAATGATCATTTTCATAACAAAATGGTGATACAAGACAAAGAACAATAATTTCAGTGTGGTGTTTAAACCCTTGTGCTCCAGTTTGAAATGCATCGCTGGCATGTGCTCTACATATTTGCTTGGTTATGATGACTGTAATGTATTACCTTGGTTAACATGGGAGGTGTGTGCATTCTCCCCAGGTGATTCAGTGGTGTACCCATCACAAAGATGACCCTCCTCCTCCTGAGGACGATGAGAACAAAGAGAAGAGGACAGATGACATTCCTGTATGGGACCAGGAGTTCCTCAAAGTGGACCAAGGCACCTTGTTTGAACTCATTCTGGTAAATACAGGTTACTTTTTATTACACATGTGCTACATTTATTTCCTGGAGGGTGACTTAACCATAACCACACCATTGCCACACCCCAACCACCACCTGAACAGCAACATTGGCTTGTACTTGTAAAAATGAATGTGTGTATTTCTGTTGTGATGCTCCTCTTCTGTGGTCTGTTTCATTCACTGCTGTGGCAGTGCTGAGCGTTAGCATTTGGGTAACACAGATACAAAAGTTGCTGAGCAACAACTGGAATATTGGTGGTTTGCTGCTGTAGGGATTTGATAGGACAGTTTAAGGGTATTAAAAAAACACAGGGACTTAAATGGCTTTTCTCCGGGCAGCCAGTGAAAGTAAACCAGGCAGAGCATGTGAAAGGTAACCTAAGCAGTGGCTTAGCATGATTGGGAAATAGGCGTTGGACAAGCTACGTGCTTCCAGGAAGTGAAACACAAGTAGGGAGTGTCCGTCACTTGAGTTGATGAGCCCCCTCCCCTCCAGCTGTTTGAATGTGTTTACATACACAAAGCTAGTTAATGCTGAAGAGGAAGGGGTATCGAAGTAGCTCAGTGGGTGTTCTCGAGCTGTATGAAATTAAATGCAAATTGATGACCAAATGGTGTGTGTGAGGTTCAAAATGTAACAGGGGATGTGAGTTTACTGGAACACAGCAGGAGGGGAGATGTTGTTGTTGTTGTTAAGTGATCTCAGTGTAGTTTGTAAGCGGATGCCTTTAAAATGTAGCCTCACGCAGAGGCAGGGCTGCAAGATATTTTGGAACGATCATTTTTTGGGTGTTATTTTTTTTTTGCCTTTAATGATTGCGCAGCTGAAATAGGCAGAGGCGGTGGGGGATAGAGGGGATGACATGCAGCAAATCATAATATTACTAAAAAGGTTTGTCGTATGTTTTTAGATCAAGAGAGAGTTGTAGAGCCCTGTCTCTAAGTAATATAAACTACTGTATTTTTGGCATCGTTTAAGCTTTCAAATTCTATTTTTCAATCTGGCCTTCCTGGATGTTAAGACCCATTTACACTTTGTATAAATATGTAATTTGTATCTTGATACATTCTCTGGAAAATGACACTGGATCCATCAGCCTTTGCATTCTTACCTGATATATAAGCTTCTTTGTTGTCTTGATTTGAGCCTGTGTTGTCATCGGGCTGGTGAACGTGTCAAGTATCTTTTTTGGTAGGGAAGACTTGCTAGCTACTGCTACTTTGTGTAGCATTTGCCAGGCCTGCTTAAGCTAGCAGGACATTTTCATTTATTCATTCGTTTTCTGTAACTGCTTATCCTGTTGGGAGTCACGGGGGGCTGGAGCCTATCCCAGCTGACATTGGGCGAGAGGTGGAGTACACCCTGGACAGATCGCCAGACTATCACAGGGCTGACACAGAGAGACAAGGAACCATTCACACTCACACTCACGCCTACGGACAATTTAGAGTCACCTATTAACCTGCATGTCTTTGGACTGTGGGAGGAAGCCGGAGTACCCAGAGAAAACCCACGATGACACAGGGAGAACATACAACAGAAGGGCTCCACCACCCTGGGTTCGATCCAGGAACCCTCTTGCTATGAGGCGATACATATCGATTCAGAATATTTGAAATTGTATATTACTAAATCATTTCATTGGTACCTGAAATTTAATTTTAATTCAGGTTTTTCTGTCTGAACGCAGCATGCTTCTTTCTCTCATCAGCATTAACCCTTGGGAGCCAGTCCCTCAAATGAATCCAGAAGGCAACGGCCTTCTCTGGCTGTTAAGTGTTGATATTTGCCTTGAAATGCTAAATGTGTCGGTCTGTGCTCACAGCCTTTTCCTCACTGCCACCCACCTCTCTAATCTTCTCCACGTCACTGTTGTGTTTCCTTTCTAGGCCGCCAACTATTTGGACATCAAAGGCCTGTTAGATGTCACCTGCAAGACGGTGGCCAACATGATTAAAGGCAAAACCCCGGAGGAGATCAGGAAGACTTTCAACATCAAAAATGATTTCACAGAGGAAGAGGAAGCCCAGGTTGTTATTCCATCTATTATCAGTCTGTCAGAAAACAAATATAAGCTACGAGAAATGAATCGATCACTTTGGAGTGACTCTAAAGATAAATTAATTTAAGCTTTGACAGTTGACCCGACTCATCCCGTCTGTCCCTCCTCTTGTCCACAGGTACGCAAAGAGAACCAGTGGTGTGAAGAGAAGTAAAGGGGGAGATCCTGCCAACACTACCACACTGAAAAAGGAATTGTCCCTGCTAACTGGTTGCACTGGCGTTGTTCATACTTGTCAATATTTACATTTAGTATATTTAGAGCCAGCCACCCCCCACCCCCACTTTCCCCTCCCCTCAGTTTCTGTATACCAATAGCATGACTATTTTAACTTGCCTGTGTGTTGTCATTAATTTAAACAAAGAAGCTCTTTTCTGTTTCTACACACACACACACACACACACACACACACACACACACACACACACACACATCATTTACTGTCACATACAGTAAATAGTCCTGGTTTCATGGCTTTGTACCCTTAAAGATCAGAAAATATTTCCCTATTATTAATCGCTATGTTTGTCTTTTTTACTGGACATGTTTTCTTTTAGGTTAATTGATTAAATAAAAATGGGTTTTTTGACAATGGAGATGAAAGGGTAAATATTTTATTTTTTGCTCTGTAAATGCATCTGTTGTGAAACCATGTTCAGAGAGGACGGGGCTGTTTTTAGAGGAAAAGTGAAGTTTGAGGTGGAAAGATGTTCTGTTGCATCACGTCCTCGGGACTTTGGAAGTACTTTTGTGTTGTCGCACAGCATCGAGTAACTCCTTCCTAATTCATGTTGTTTTGAATTGGAAACTTTTCTCAGATTAAGCTCTGATGCTGGGGGTTTTGGGGATGATGAAACATTTATTGAAGGAGTAAATAAAACGCATAAAAAGGCTGATGTGTGTCATTTTTGTTTGGAAGGCTCTGCAGGGCATGACCATCTTTGGGACAAATTGTCTCACTATAATCTTAAAATATTCCTTGTGTTTTAACAACAGCAGACATGGACGAGATATTCAAAACACTTTAATACATCAAACAAAACAAGTAATACATCAGAGGCGTCTGAGGGGTAAAAAATACAAAAGACATCTCAGAGGTGTTCCCACTACTGACGTGAACATCCTCGAAATAAAACAAGCTATTTCTAGCACAAGAGCTCTCTCTGCTGGAGGAAAAACAGTTTTGCTGTACAAAAAGCTCAGTTTACAGTTTGTCCACAGCATTGGAAGCTGAGTGAAGCTGCAAGCAGGACGGTAAATTAAAGCCTTTTTAAGTCAAAATCTAGTTTTGTTACACTGAAGTTGGAACATGCACAGATCGAGAACACAAGATATCTTTTTTTCTTTTAACGCTGCTGCAGTAACACTTGACTGAAAAACAAAAAGTAAAATTCTGCACAAGAGGACAAACAAAATGTATTGCTTTAAGAAATGGTAGAAACTAAAAGGTTTTTTTTGTTTTTAGGTATTCCACTTTTTTTTTTTTTTTACATAAAAACATATAAAAGTTTCATTAGAATAGGGAGTTCTGACATTTAAAAAACTTTACAACACAATGCAATATAATAGTACCCATTTGGTCTCATAAGTTTACGGAGCTGCAAAATGTTCAGTCTAAAGATAAAACAGCCAGGAGAACAAAAAAAAATCCCTCGTCTTTTCTCTGAGGGTTTCCCCGCCAGCAAAACATCTGACCTTAAAAAAAAATCACAAGATTCATACAAAAATACCAAAAATTAGGAGGAAACAGAAGAAAATGTAACAGTTGATATAGTGAGAGACTGAGCCTGAAAGTGCCTAAAAGAGATAATGTAACTTGCAGTTGGGGATACTTGTCATGTGAGAGACTTTTTCACCTGCTGAATTTTTTTTTTCTTATCTGGGAGCAAAAGTTGTGGAAATGTTTGGATATGGATGAAACTCAAGTCAAACAGTGAAAACAAAATGGCAGCTAAACAAAAGTGATTGTGTCCCTCTCTTTGGAGCTGAGGTTCTGCTGGTCAGGCTGGCTGGGTGTTGGTCTCTGCCCCCCCTCTGAGTGATGGTGGTGGATATGTGACAGCTGTGATGGTCGTATGTAAACCCTTGAATGTGGAGGAAAGCGTGTGTAACAACACTGTGGCCTCGGAAGAAGAGTGTGATGATGTGATTCATTGAACAAAAGCTCGTGTCCCATTTTGTTTGTGATTGTCATAGAGGTCAAAGCACATGGCCGGCTTTAAAAAGAGCACCGAGCGGGGCTAAGGAGTTTTACTTTGTAGAACTGGTCTGCTTCTGTACAAGTGGCAGGGCTCAGGGGCTGGATCTTCCCAAGGATGAGGCTATAGGCTCTGCTACACAGACTTTTGTCATGGCAGACATTTTGACACGTCACAGTAGGAAATGCACAGGTGTATTTCAAAAACATGAATGATTACTGTCTCCCACTTAGAGGAGGTCCTGAAATGGTGCATACTGGCACACCAGGACACTCAATGGAACTAATTGTTAATGTTATCGCTTTCACCAGTGCTTTTCCTGCTATGACAAGTCATGATGTCTGCTGTGAAGAAGGTCCATTCAGGTGTTCCTCATCAACCTCTTTAAAATATATAATTTCCAAGTTAATGACCAAGGATGTCACGGTGTCATATCATGCCTTACCAATGAGGTCAAACACATGCCAAGTGAAATCTGGTCTGCATCATGGACGACTGATTCATTTTACTGAGGCGTCCCCGGTCAGCTTTGGGTCGGAATATTTTTGTGTGTAAAACAAAGATAAAAGTGAGAATTACAATTCTCTAATTATTAAAAAAGCCTGTAATAAAAGACCAAAACAAATGCTTTCTCTATGCAAATGTTTTATGTCAGCCAGCATCCATTGAGCGTACTCAAAAGTTCTCGGACACCATCCCTTTATTTCTAGTGCTGTCTGCTGTAACCCTCCAACATCGCAGCTCCACTTACACTGTGCATGTGTCACACCCCATAGCTTGTATGCTGACAAAGAGTGTGCCCAGCCTTCATTGAACAGCCTTGTTCATGACCAGGAAGTTGTTCTTACTGATCACCAAATGTAGCTAAAGTTATTACCATGTCCAGGCTGATGGCAATTTCCCAGTGACTGGTGATCACTTGACCCACATATCTGCCAAGTATTTCCAGACCTTCAGGTTGACAAGGATTGCCTGCAGTCTTGATTAAATAACTGCCCATGTGATGGAGGCTTTGAGACGGAATCTGCCTCACTGATCTTGTTGTTGTTGATGCGCAATGGAAGATCCAGCCTCTGAACTGAGACACAGCTAGAATCTTACTCCTGGGCAATCTAGCACCCTGCCACTCCTATTTTAATCGAACAAAAGGACCCCAGTGTGTATAGATAAATGTGAGAATGAAGGCAGGTGAGGAAGATGATCTTCATGGCTCTGGACGAAGCTGAGGTGAACAGGGTCGGGGATGTGAGCGGCCCGGAGCGATCACTGAGACTCTGTTAGCACTTTGAGAGAAAGTCCTGCGGCCTTGGCAGCCGACAGCGCCGTCGTCGAGCTGTGGGTCTGCTTGCCGGTCAGTTCCAGGTGTGTGTGGGTGTGTTTGGTCGCGGGCTGACGGAGGTCGCCTCGCTTGCTGGCAGACTGCTGCAGGGGTAAGCGCGTGTGTGAGCGTGTGTGTGTCGGCGGGGACAAGGGGAGGTGCGTTGACGGGGAGGTGGGCGGTGGGGAGCAGCCCGGGGAGGGGGGCAGCTGATGCTGGTACAGGCGGTGGCGGGCAGGGGAAGGGGAGGGGGGAGAGTCTATAGCACTTAAATCTGAAGAAGTTGGGCTGGGGCAGCCTCCTCCTTGAAGGTAGCGAATGCACTTCTTTTTCCTCCTAGGGACAGTCAGAGAGAGTTATCTGTGAATAAAGTGTGGATGGTAAACGTCAGCAGGCTTTAATGAAGATGCATCATTCACACTGACGTCATGAACAGGGACACATATGGGCACAATGAACAACACACAAGTATTAGTGTCAGTCTATGTACATCTGGATATGAAGAGTTAATGTCCTAAACAACACAAATCCATTCTGGGAAATATATTTCTGAATATCTAGGCTGTGAACTAATAATTTCCAGATAGAAAAGAACCTAGTTTTCATGTTTTATCAGGAAAAAGTAATTATAATATTGGTGTCATTCTACAGTAAAATATAAATGCCCTTTTTGCTTTAAATGAGGAAATTGTTACTATTTTCATTTCTTTTCTAGATTCACGTTATGGAACTAGAGCCAGCTGGCGTTTAGCTTAGCTTAGCTTAGCATACAGACTGGAAGCAGGGAGGAACAACTAGCCTGACGCCGTGCAGTGCTCAAAATGACATCTTTCAACCCCTTTAAAACTCTTTGGTTATGGACACTGACGTGGACGTGTGACTATGGCCTGCTGAGGTGATGTTGGTGCTGAATGTGGGCGGTGCAAAGCTAGCTTTCCTACTCATTGCCAGGCAGGCAGCATCCTCCATGTGAGGCCGTTTGTACATTTTAATGACCAATATCAGTCAGTATCAGCTGGTTAACCCTTTGAACCTGGAGTGACATTGCTTTTCTTGTGCTGCTTTCAGACGCCTTTCGTAAGTATTTAAACCTTTGAACCCTGAGAAAATTAATTGCTTTTGAAAACATGAGAAAAACGTCAAGAGCAACAATGCCCCACAAATAAATAAAAAAAAAATAAAATAAAATAAAATAAATAAGGAAGAAAAGAAAGAGCTTGGGAAAGACTATATTTATAATTATTATTACATTTTAAAATTCTGTTAATGAATTAATATAATTTTAAGCACTCTTTCCAGGTCATTTACTTAATTGTTTGTTTTTAACTTTTGTTCTTTTTTTATTTACCTAATTCTCTTGTTTTTAATTTTCTCTTTTTACAAATGTCTTGCAATTTTTTTTTGTCTGGTTTTGTCTTTTGTTGTTCGTTTCCTTCTTCCCACAATTTTTAAAGAAGTCATCATTTCACTCATGTGTGACTGTGTCCTTACATGTACCCTGTTAGTTTTATCTGCACACAACAAGGTTATTATAGTAAACTAAAAACCAAAACTAGGTGTAGCAATGGTGCATAGAACTACAACTAATACTGAAACTTAACATTTTTAAACGAGAAAAACTAAACTGAAATGAGCAAACCCACTCTGCAAACGGACTGAAATTGATCTGAATTGAAATCAAAAAAATAAATAATGAAAAAATACAAAACTATAATAACTGTGGTGCACAAACAGAAATGGAGGAGCAACATTGTTTGTTTTAAGAGGGAGCGACATGATGAAAATTGTTCTTAGTGAACATCATTGTCACTTCCTGGAGTTTGGGAGGAATATATCAAAGACAGAACGGCCATGACGACATAATTCACTGTAAAAACCACATACTGTGTTATTTCTTGTTTTTTTTTTTCTTTTTTTTGTGTTCCAATCAAGCAACTGAGATAATATCATACTAACTACTGAGCTTTAAAGGTGTTAGCAGGTGTATTTTGGAGCTTTGGAGAGTCACGCTAGCAGTTTCCCGCTGCTTCCCGTCTTCACGCTAAGCTAAGATCATTGATTAAAAATGCGTCACTACAGTGCAGGGAATACCACTCGGATATATAATTAATCTACTACATGACTTGTGTTTTCATTTAGTATTATTAGTGTAACAGTGAACTCTTAAAATAGCACAATTCAGCTCTAATTTCCTGGTCTGCACCAAAAATACAGCCTCTAATCTAACAGGCACACAGCAGTGATGTGCAGAGCTTTGTGAGGTGTTATACTTAAAAGCAGACTATTGTACCGCTGAGTGCAGCATCAAAGCAGTTAACAGGATCCCATGATCATTACCAGAATATGATATGAGTCACCAGGTTTAACCGCAAGGAAAGGTGCTAGGCCATATTTAGAGAGAGAGAGAAAGAAAGAGAGAGGGAGACAGGGAGGAAGAGTGCAATAGAAAGTGATTTCTAAATGTCAGAGTTCACCATCAAAAGGCGGCAGTTACCACATCGCATGAATGGAGAGAGTTGAAAGCAGATGGGCATGAGAACGCCGTCAAAATGCAAAGCTGCAGGGAGTGTGTGTGTGTGTGTGTGTGTGTGTGTGTGTGTGTGTTGAGCTGTGGTGATAAGGATTTGCTCTAACCACATTCACCCCCTTTGTTCTCTCAAACCGAAACACACGCACACACTTAGATTTCCATGACGTGATGGTGGGGAAGACGGCGGGGTTGCTACAGTGCTGTGGTGGTAGGAGCTTCTTCTGCAGAACCACACAGATTCCTGACTCCTGCAGTGAAGCGCTCGACTGCGCTTCTACTGTAAATCCTGCTGTGACTGGAACAGAGCAGTCTGAGGAGCTGACAGGCCGGCTTCTGGTGATTTATAATGTACTATCACCAGGTTTATGCTTTATCATAGGGAAAGTGAGTGTCAGGGAAAAGCACTGGGATCAATGTAGCTGATGTAGTATAGTAAGCAGTAGGTAAGTTTGGATGAACAGCTCCATCAGACAAATAAATCTAACACCCTGTATTGCCAGGGTACATGATCAACTTCAAACTAAGCTTTGCAAAGCACATTCTTTATCATTCTGTGGTTATTAAAAAAGTTACTCCAGCTTGCTCAGACTAACCCTTTGCAAGAACTGTGTGAGAACTGGGAAATTCCCTGGTTGAATTCATAATTACGACCAGGAGAGAAACATTGCTTGCTTGCTAGAACAATCTTATGAATGCAATCTGGCAACCTTTGCTACTGAACACTGGGCTCCAATAACTTAAGAGTTGAAACATTTTCTTAAAGTTTAACCTGTTATAACACAGGTTCTGCAGAACTGTCCTCCTAGGAATGCCACACTTTCGGGCATCTAACGCCCAAAACTTAACTCATAAATCTGTCAGGGCCTTATGTTTGTGCAGTTTTGATTTCAATTATGTTATAAAAAGAGTTGGAAAAAAAAAAAAAATCAGCCAGGAAGCAGAGAAAAAAGTGTTACTTTCTGATATCACCTTACTGCCATGTAACTATGTTTTTGTTTTGAGTGCCAGTCAACCACTCTGCAAACACTCTTTCATAGCTTTTTTTTTATTGAGTGGTATTCCCCTTTAACCGCATTATTTTTACAGGGCATGTGACACAATGCGTCATAACGGCAATGCATAACCTAAACCATATTTGACCTTTAAGGCAAGACAAACAAAAGAAAAGTAGTAAGAAAATTAGTTTTGGTGATAAATAACATCTGAGTCAAGTGTTTTTCTTTATCTGTGAGCCCTGAGTAGTCCTGACAGTACACCTTAAAGCAAGATGTAAATGTGACTATATTTGCATTTCTTTTATGACTATAAAACTACAATGCTTCAGTTTGTAGAGCAGTGTGTTAGTGACAAACAGCATGCAGAGATCAGGCTGCATTCTCAAACATTCTTAGGAGGCGGAGCTCGTCTTAAGGCAGACATAATCTCACTGGTTGAGTTAATGACTAATTAAAAGGTAGAGGAGTAAGAGAGGAGGAAACTAAAATGATAATGTCTTGTGAACTTGATCAGACTGAGGAGATTATTACCACCTCCTGAGCAGCTCCGCCTCTGAGAAATGTTTGAATAATTAAGACCTCATCAGAGTGGACTCATGCACTGATGGACAGGTGGTTAAATGGGAGGAGAGATGAGGAGTTTGTCGGATGCCAGCAGAGCGCTGCTATGGAGTGGGTAGGGCTGGATGCTCGGTACACACCTGCAGGGACCGCACCAGTCCGTTTGTTGGTTGAGGCCGAAGCGAGCCCGGCATTTCTTAGGAGAGCCCGGGTCTGAGCACAATGCGCAGCATGCACATAACAAGCGGGAGGAGAAGCAAAAACAGAGAGAAGCAGAAGAGGAGGGAAGAAGGTTGTAGAGAGCGCGAGGACAGGAGGAGAGATAAAGACAGACAAAGAGAGGAGAAATAAAGAGACACGAGAGCATGTCAGGGCAGGAGAAAGCACCAACAGGGCTGTCCGTTTAGAGAAAGCCATCAAGTCAAACTGTTAGTAGCCGGTTATAGCATTGACAACCACCAGAATAACCACACACTCACACACACACACACACACACACACACACATATAACTTAGTTAAACAAGTCAGACATCCTGGAAACAGGCTGTTAAGACATACAGAGAGAGACTCAGAGAGGGCAGCCGCGCTCTGTTAGTACAGGGTTATAAAAGGTTTCCACTTTCTGGCAAAGATGCAGTCATAAATTGCTTTAACTCAGGAGGTCAGCACTCTTAAAATCCAGAAATACACTTTACTACTTCTCTGTTAGAGGCTGAAGTGGAGCCTTTATTGGAAAAATGTTAAAATCCTCATCGTTTTTAGTTGAAAATCAGATGTAAATTTTAGAAATTTTATTTTTATCTAAAGCTTTAGTTCAGGGTTGGCGCTACATTCTCACTTGCATCATTCATGCTTCACTATCAGTTGCTCATTCATCAGCTGCTCGGATATCAGCTGACTAGTAACATCCAAAGATGCACCATCAGGAGAGACAAACCAGGCAAATGTTTGGGGACCTCAAAAAAATTGTGAAAGAGGCCCCAGATGCTCCTCATAATGGCACATTTTAGGATGACATCTCTTAACCGCCTTAAACCTCCAATAAAGGTGCTGCACTGTGCACCGCCTTGAGTGTGTGAGTGTGAGAGTGCTGCGGCGACCGGAGCAGAGAGTATGATGTTAAAGGTAGCAGTGCAATGTGAGTACGGGGTCGGGGGTGGCTCTATCTGCAGGATGGGCTTCTTTTCCTGTGGCCCCCCATAGTCTAGAATCACCGCTGCTATCATCTATCAGCATTCATATTTTCCTACCAGCTCTTACATGAAATGCCAGAGTTTCCTGCAGGACACCTCAGATTTGCATAATCTAACTTTGAAACTGCCACGTTACTTTCTCAGTTTTGATGCTACCTGCTAAAGCTAGTCACTATTACAGTATTAGCTTGAGCGCTCACATACAGCAGGTGATCCACTAGGAACACATGGAGGACTTCTATGTTTTAATGGTTGAGATAACTTATGAAAAAATATTTTCAATTGCCTGAACACAGTAAAGGGAAACTACCTTTATCAGCTTGGACAGCTAAGAGCAGGACATAATGTTTCATACACTGCCGGGGATTATAATGTTTGTAATTCAGGTTACATGGAAAACAGAGTGGGTGGGTGGTTTGACGTTAGAGACACATCCTGCCTCAAAGACACCAAGACATTGTGCTACAGCGCGCCAACGCAAGTTCAAGCTCAACTGAATTCTCTCAAATACTGCAGCTGACACTGGCCATTTGTCTTCTCACACTGACACAGGGTATAATAGTATCTGTCTGACAGGAGAGAGGCAAGATATTTATATGGTTACCTGTGTTGGAGTCCTGCAGCTTCTCCCTTTTTCTCCTCTTCTTTTTGCCCTGTGGGAGAAAGAACAAAACAAACCCCCCCAATGAAATGAGACTGGCTCAGCTGCTGAAATGAGTAAAATGCTACAGCATCAGCGGACTTTTGACTGAGGCTGATAAATCCAGTTCTTTTGGTTTGGATTGTGCAAAAGTGCAAGCTGTTCTCTTTTATCTATATGATTTTGTCCTCCATAAAGAATTCATCTTTGCTTTTCCGGTTCCCTTAAAGTGTTTGTTCAACACCCTCGAGTGCAATCCCTCTTTGAGAGTGAGTGTTCATGATTAAATATAGTCTCAAATTTGTGTTCCTTTATTAACAGAAATCTGCACCACATTAAAAATGGAGCTTTCTTATGTGACGTGAATCCATTTTAAGTGAAAAAGTGCAAAGTTAAAAGCAGCAACCAGGTCAGGCAACCATATTTAATGCTCTACAGAAGCAGGAGAAAAGCAAGAAAGACAAAGAAATCCTCACAAGAAAATATGTTGCATCCCTAATGTCACTCAATTCATGCAAAACCTGACGTGTCGCCACCAAAAACATAACTGATCAACACTCAGAATTAAGAAAAATAAATCATTTGTAGATGATCTCACAGTCAAACATTTTTCATATTTGTTGCCATTTTTCATTATCTCCAATCTGATTGTCATGTGTGACTGTTGAGGTAAACATCAGAGTTGTTCACGCAGATCCGGTGATGGTGAAGTGAGGCCTCATATTTGGGTGAGATGAAGGATGTGGGTACAGAGATCTACCGCCTACGCTTCGTTGTCTGTCCTCCTCGGCTCGCTGTCAGCACTGTCTATGTGGTTACAACAACTCCTCTTGCAACTGCACCTCTCTGAAGCTTTGTGTCTGTGGGCGTACGTGTGTGTGTGTGTGTCCCTGTGTGTGCACATACTATGTGTAGGTTTTTTTTAAGACTCGGAGGAGAAACCCTCCACAGCTGCGGGGGCGATATGGAGCTTCACTTCCTGTTGTGCTAGGGGTCCAGTGACTGTTTGTGTTTTTCTTTAAAGTCAGGAGGAGAGCAGGGTGTGAAGGGTGATGCAAGAAGCCCCGAGCGCTTGTGTGTATGTTGTCATTACACAAGTTGTTCTTTTCTATACATATAACCTTGTCAGACTGTTGCCTCAGAGGAAAATTTTGGATAAATAATTTACTTTAAGACAACTGCACCTGTTAGTAAGCCACCATGTGTGGACAATGGTTACATATACAGTAGTTCTTTGTCATGACAGTCGCCCATGTCAACACATCTAACAGCATCTGCTGTGTTATGCCTTGCCGAGCTGCGTAGAAAATGCTCAAAGCTCCATGCATGATCACAGTTTACTAGAGCTCTGGTTTATAACATATTCGCACAGCATCATGAGAATGCTTCTGAACTGTGAGCTTTGACAGAACTCCCTGTGGATAAGGTTAGGGCTTTTATTTTGAAGTATTTGCTTAAAAAACTGGCATCACCTTGTGCTTCGGTGTCAGATGCAGCATAAAGATGAGATAAAAAAAAACCTGATTTAACTGATTCAGTGTGCATGTTTGTGACTTGTTCAGATGTTACAGCACGTGTTATAAACCACAGCCCAGATAAAGTGCCACCATAACTCATGTGCCATGCCTGCCCATCTACAAAGTTCAGCTCAGTCAGGTACAGAGGAACAAGACAGTACAGCAGAGAGAAGCGTAAACAGGCTACCACTCTGACAGGTATCGAACATCACTGAAAATCAGCTTCTGTTGCGACCAAAGCCTTTACTTCACCTGATTATGACACATTTTGCTTCGTTATGTCGTTTTCTGGTAGAAAATATTCAGAAATTACAGGATGTGCAAGCCTGATTCCTAAAAAGTTGGGACACTATGTAAAATGTAAATAAAACAGAATAAAATGATTTGCAAATTCTTTTCAATGTATATTCAATGTAACAGAGTTCAAAGAGAAGATATTTTATGTTCAAACTGATACATTTTATTGTTTTTTGGAAATATACACTCACTCTGAATTTGATGCCTGCAACATGTTCCAAAACAGTTGGTACAGGTGCATGTTTATCACTGTGTTACATCAGCTTTTCTTTTTACAACAGTCAGTAAATGTTTGGGAGCTGAGGATACTGACTGTTGAAGTTTTGAAAATGAAATTTCGGTAATACTTTACTTGAAGTTATCTACACAAGAGTGACATGACACTGTCATAACTATGACAAAACACTGTCGTGAACATTATGTACATGTCATAAACGTTTATGACTGCTGTCATTAAGTGTCATTCGGTATTTGTATTGACAAGTTGACATTGTTTGGGTTGTCTTGATTATGACAACTTCTCATTAATCGAAGTGACACTACCAGAAGTTGTCTTTGTCATGACAAGTTGACATTAGATTTGTTTGGAATGTCCTGATTATGAGAGGTGCATTTCTTGTTAATGTCAAGCTGTGATGACAAAGGCATCTTCTGGTAATGTCATCCTGGTTAATGTCAAGTTGTCATAATAAGGACATCCCAAACAAATTTAATGTCAACTTGTGATGACAACGACAACTTCTGGTAATGTCACTTTGATTAATGTCAAGTTGTCATAATCAAGACAACCCAAACAATGTCACAATGACACTTAATGACAGCAGTCATAAATGTTTATAACATGTACATAATATTTATGACAAGTTCATGACAGTGTCATGTCATACTTATGACAGTGTCATGTCACCCTTAAGTAGATACCTTCAAGTAAAGTGTTACCGAAATTTCTTTCTCAAGATTCACGAGCAGGTCCATTAAAATCTTTAAGATTTAAAGAGTGTCTTTGTGGAAAACTGGGCCAAAATCCATCTGAACACTGTGAGGACAGGAAGTGTCTTAAAGTTGGCATTGTAAACTAAGGCTGCTCCAAGAGCTAAATACATTTAGCATGGTAAGCCTTTTTTCTCTGTTATTCCACTTCAATGCAAATTATTTTCACGGATTAAAATGTTAAAATTTCTTTATAAGTTTAATGCAAAATGTGTAATTGAAAAAACAAACAAACAAACAAACAAACAAACAAAAAAAGTGTTAAATTCCAATTTTTCCCACTGAATTTAAAAGGATTTGCAGATCATTACATTCAGTTTTGTTTTACATTTTTCATAGTGTCCTAACTTTTTTGAACTCAGGCTTGTACTTCAACTTATCGAATAACAAATGATTAATTATAAAAATCGCAATGTCAGAAGGTTGTGTTTCTGAATAACCATAATGTGTGTTTAGCTTTACTAGTAACACAAATGAAGGCGCTGTATTGTAAAGGGATGCCCAAAAGTTAAAGAATGAACTAAAGCAGCGAGGCCAGCCATGCGGCCCTGCTCTCTGTTAGTTGAGCAAAACGGGTTGATTTATACCTCTGTGTGATTCAGCAGTCATAACCATGGCAACGTGCAAGACTTGGTGAAATGTGTCCAAAACTGACCAATCAGATCTGCTTTTGCAGCTTGCGTGTTTGTTTGTGAGGGCTGACATGTGTGAGTCATTAAGGTATTTTTTGGAAGGTGCATGCAAACTTTGCACAGGAATACCCACAACCCCTTTTTTCATGCAGCTCTTCACATACTCGTATCTTCCCACCACAGAGGCATAAATCCACCATAAGACGTGTCCCTACCCAATCAGCTTTACTCTTTTCCCCTGCGACCCCGCTAAGGCCCGCCTCCTGCAAGAGTTCAACAGCAAACTGACAGATCAGAGGCACACAGCAGCCCAGATACAGCACATCCCCACAACATTGAACTACAACACATGCACCACACAGGTTTGACTTCCTCTTGTGTTCTGGGAGACCTGTTTAATCATTTCATGCCATGAATGTCTGTCGTTATGTTTGATGATGTTTGACTGACAGGCCTGGGAGCCAATAATCATGCAGGATGTTGAGACAGTAGCCAGTAAAGGAAGTAAGTTGAGTAAATTGTTCAGCTCTGAGGTGAGAACAATAAATATGATCAAACCCAGTTCAACAAGTTCAGGTTTAATGAGTTCATCCTGTTCTATTTTTTTTTTTTTCATCTTGGCTTCATGTACAGGGAGTCAAACCAGACAGGAAGTAAGTCAAGTGGCTGGTGTTTGTACTTTGTTACAGATTTTGACATTTTATTATTTTCTCAAAGGCAGCTTCCTGCTTCCAGGAACTGCTTCACCCAGCAATAGGTGAGGTGTGTCTCTACTAATGTAATAAATACTGCGTTGTATAATAACTTATCAGAGAATGAATAACTGGAATTGCTTTCCAACTCTTATTTTGAAGGAAATTTATTGTATTCATGTTCATATATTTAAAAATCAAACCTATACACAAGTCTGGATCCAGGTAAACTTTCAATTGTAAAATTTGCAGCACAAACACTGTAGTTTAACAATTTGTGCCTTAATCTAATAACAATTTAGATCATTAAAAACAGTAGTTTCTATAAGATCAGTGATGTAACCATGGCAACCAAATGACTTATTCACCCTGGAGATTGTTCCCGCAGGTATAAACATCATGCCTTTTCCATAACACAGTGAGTGCCTCCTCATCTTAACACTTTTACATTCCGCTGGTTGTTGTTTTTTTCCAGATCAGCTTTTAAAAATCAACTCAGAGGAGTTGTATGACGTACGGAGGGAGAAGAGGAGGAAAGATGAGGAGTTAAATTAGAAGTACTCACGTAGTTGTCTCTGGCAGACCAGGTCGGGTAGAGCTGCATGTGGAGTTGTCTCTCTTTCCTGGCCAGCTCATAGTACTTGGCCTGTTCCTCCCGGGTCAGTGCATGCCACTGCAAACACACACAGAACAAACAAAATTCAAGAAGGAAACAGTTATTATACTGATTATTATATTTTTCACACATTATATAGGTTTTTGCACATACTGTGTGTTAGTGTTGGTCTTTGTCAGGGTGCACAAGGGTGGACAGGAGTCAAGCAAACATTTTATCGGCATGGTAGGGGGTACGTAGCCTTTTTTGCACCCTGACAAAGAGCATAGAGTCAAAACCGGTAGGTGTTTAATGTAAGCAGCCATGTTTTGAAATAAAGGCTTTGTAACTTAATTCAAATGCATCTGTTCCTGCTCCATGCACGAGTGCCTGAAGTTCACTTTTTCCTCCCATGTGCTGATTCTTTTCTTCAAGAGCACCTGTATTTTTTCTTGATTATCATACGATAAAGACAGTCCTCGAGTACACTACTATCTCGTTCTTCAAAGTGTGTTAGTGTTGTCGATATATGTCATCAATACTGAATATTTAAACCGTTTCAATACTCATTATTCACATTATTGATACATTGGTACCAGCTGCACTTTCTCACTCATGCTTATTCTTTGTCTATTATTAATGTTGTTCTGCCGTTCTCTGCAACTAACCAAGAAATGAAAGTCATCGTAGTCATGTTATGGCCTTGTTATATTCATCTTTTAATACAAAATTTAAATTATATGCCCTCAATTTCAGTATCGAAAATGGTATGAAATATTGATGTTTTTCAAGGTATTGTATCGACATTAGAAATTCCAGTATCGTGACAACACTTTTGTGTATTGTGTGTGTTCAGTCTTTGGTGGATGTGACTCCCAATTTGGTGAATTCACCTCAAAATGAAGTCATCATGCTATAATTTTTTAAAATTTAAATTCTAGAAACAGGGAGAATAAAGAATTAAAAAAAATTATCCTAATCGAAAATTATGAACACTGCACAAGTCACCTTTTTTTTGCACTTTAATCACAGTCATAATAATGTTGATAATAATATTGACGTTATATGTGTACCACTATTCTGAACAAAGTTGCACGGTGCTTTACAGGACATCAGAGACAGTAATTAAGAGATATCATGAAAAGTAAACCCAGACAAATGAGATAAAATGATTAAAAAAAACAATAATAAATAAAATAAGATATAGTCCAAGAGATATAAAATCATAAAAGTTTGTTAAAGCCATTTTAAAAAGGTGTGTTTTAAGCCACCATTTAAGAAACAGCATTTGTGGTGGACACTGTGAACATGAATTCATTCCACAGTTTAGGTGCCATGACTGCAACGCTCAGTCACCCTCAGGTGCAAATCTGGACTTCAGATGGTAGAAAAAGCTCTTCTCACAGTTCACACAGTTCCTACGTGTATGATACAGCATGATCTGCATCTGAACTGTGTGAATGATATGACATGCACTGTCTTATCAGTCTTAAGGAACCCAATAGCACCAGTCAGTGTTGTTATGATCTCAGTAGCACCAGTATGTGAGGGGAACAGAGTTCACATTACCCCAGTCCTCTCATGTTCCTCATGTGTGAAATTACAAACTGACCTGGAAACAGGATTAGTCTGCGCTTTGGTGTGTGTGTGTGTGTGTGTGTGTGTGTGTGTGCATCCCTCACCCTTCGTCCCAGAATCTGGTTGATGGCAGCGCTCTCCTTTAATGTGCACTCGGCGATGACCTTCGCCCTCATCTCCTTCATGTAGAGCATGAAGGCGTTCAGGGGTTTCTTGATAACCGGCTTCTTGGGCTCCTTCTCCCGCTTGGCCTCAACATGTGGCTTCCTGAGGAGGGGAGAGGAAGAGGGGCAGAGTGGCAGGAGGATGAGGAGGAGAAGGGGGTAAGGATGGGTGAAGGAATTTGAGTGAAGATGGGGAGATAATCAGTTTGAAAGTTGAAAAAAAGGCTTCTAAATGACACAGTATATTAAGTTTATTCTCAGGGTGTAGCTTCATATTTAATGAACAGATACAAAAGCGGTATCAGTCTTTTAACTCTCGGCAAGACAGCAAATATTTCCCAATATGTTGAACTATTCCTTTAATGGGAAAAACTGGGTTTAGGGTTATTTATGTCAGTCAATATCCAGCACAGCTGAGATTGCCGTGACAGTTCAAAAGAGTCAAGAATTAAAACCTCAGACAAATACATGAGTACTAAGCAATTACTTAGCAGAACAATAGTGACATGAACTGTGGGTCTAATAAAGATTCAAATATGTCAAATTCTGCCACAGAAAAATAGCGAGTTCTAGTCCCAAATTACAGTCAAACCCTGCAAGGAAATGCATTCAGACAAGTGATAAAAACAGAGTGAGATTTAGTACAAAAATGCAAAAACTAAAAAGCCAGAGAAGACTATGATGAACAGTAACAAGCAGAGGAGTGTGACAAAGGAGGGGATCAGTGGAGAAAAATGATGAATGCGAGTGTGGCAATACTTACACGTACATGCCCCTGTCATACTGATCATGCTCCTGTTTGCCTGTAGGGGGCACTATGGCTGGGTGGGGGATCCCTGTAGGATGCATGCCTGACGGGCCGAGCATCAGAGAGTGAGGGAACCTGGTGGGGATGAAAGAAAAAGGGTGGAGGACGACAGGAGACAAGAGACAGAGTGACATAAAAAAAGCTTTAGTTAGTTCAGAGACCTGCTTTGAGTCTGGGGCAGAGAGGACGGTGAGCGTCAAAGCAAGAGCGTCAGGTTTGGTAAGCAGTGAGCTTGAAAGCGTGGAAATTCACTAGAGCCAAATTTGACTTACTGATAGGTTGACTGACTTAAATTGAACCTCTTTAAAACGCTGAAAATATGTGACTAGTGGATGGTGTTCCTCATGAGCACTGCACTTAAACTGTGTGACTTGGTTCCTATCTACTCAGCAATGATGTAAGCATTTGTCACCACTAGAGGGCGTCCTAGCATTACTGAGTGAGAGGCTGGAAGACAAGGAAAATTCTCACATCTATAACGCTGTCTTGTGAGAAGTCTGAACTAAAGTCAGTGCACTTCTCAAAATCTAAATGAATAACTTCACCATCCACCTTGATCCAAAGTTAATTTAATTATAAAAAAAGGCCATTTAAGAGATTTTCTTTCCAAAAAAAATCAAGCCTTATTTTATCACCTTCACAAACTGGAGATAAAAGGAGTAAAAATAAGAGACCAGCTGAAAATGAAGCAGCAATAAGCATCAGCTGCTTGCAGCACAGTGAGCGTCAGGGTCAAATAACAACCAAAAAATATTCATATTGTTTGTTTTAAATCAGCGTGGAGCAACAGCTCATCAGTAAAGTTTACTGCATTTGACAAATACAGGTACCAGCAACATAAATACATAACTAAGAAATGCAGAAATTAAGAGCTGCACGTTAGGTAATGCTTACTGCTCAGAAGTAGTGAATAAAGAGGAAACATTTCCCCTCTGAGCAGCAGGTTAAAGGTTTGATATCCAAGATGCTGATTAATCATCTGGCTTTTGAGTTATTGTGATTTGATACAGGCCTGATACAGGTGTAAAACAAACTATATGAGAGGCTTTTTGACACCGGTTGCTGCGTGACTGAGGCCTTGTGTATGAGAGACAACATGACGAACTGGCAAAGCGCTGTGGCGACAAAGCATGTGTTTGTTGCACCCTTGGAAAACAAAGCAAGGGACCAATGTTGCAGGGCCTCACACAAAATTAGCTATTATCAAAATGTAGTTTTATTGATGTATGTGATGGATCAGAAACACAAATGACAAAAAAAAGACAGAGGTTAGCGATAGCAAGTTAAAAGCAGTTAATGTCCTGATGGCGCTCAAGAGTGTGTGTGTGTGTGTTTGTGCAGCAGCGACTAGCTTGGCTCGACTCAGTTTGCCTCGACTCGGCTTGTTTTGGCAAAAACACAGAACTCGTCCTGTTTACAGCACACTGGCTCCAATGGGACTTTTACAGCAGCTGCCCACTGAAAGCTGACACAGGAGCTGAACGGAAAACTCCGGCTCAGGCTTTCTGAGTGTGCTATAAACAGAGGAGTTGACGATGCAGAGCGTTTGCTTTTTGCTTTTTTTTTTTTGCTTTTACTTTCTTGGCTCGGTCCAGCTTGGTCCGACCAGCAGGCTACGATACCTGGAGTAGGAGGAGGCGCTGGAGAGGTTGGAGGAGTAGGACTGCCTGAATCCACAGGGGGACAGGGCAGGGTAGACTGGCTGGCTCTGCCTGCCACGGCACAGCAGAGGGGGAGAGACGGCAATAGTTGGTGCCTTTTAGCTTTACAGGTACAAGTTTGATGATCCCTGAGAGGACGTTTAGCCCTCTAAGGTCAATTAAATTCTACTGTAATCTTTATTTAAATTAATCGTTATATTTGCTGTCAAAAATCATTCTACTGTGAAACAGAGGCAATGCTCTGCTGACTTTAAACTTGAATATTGTCAGCAATAAAACATCTTAAAAAACATTTCTTCTTATCTTTTGTCCTGTATTTAAGTTCTATCCCTTAATTTTTATAATTCATATAATTGGTTTGTTGTTGGATGTGTGTACTTATCTTTTACATTGACAAATTGTATAACATGGAAATAAATAAATATGTAAAACAAATCTCCAGCTCCAGTAAATTTCAAAGATCTCAGAGTTCAATAAAGTGAAATCTCATGGTTTAATGCTTTTTTGCTTCTACAGAAGTATCTCTCGCTTTTGAAGGCAGCTCTTGTGATGCTGTGATGTACGGTGATCCCCCCCTGGAGAGTCTGGATCAGCACTGTTGACAGCTGTGTGTCAATACTTGGCTTACCGGGAACAGAAACACACACACTCACACACCGCGGGAGGTCGAGGGAGGGGATGGGATGTAAGCAAGAGCCTTTGATATGTAGAAAACCACACTTCTACCTCCTGAGAGCCAATACCCCCCCCCCCCCCCCCCAAACTGATTCATCCTTATGTTTCAACGTATGCACTCCAATACACATTTAGCATTTAAGCCCCTTTATTAACAATCATTGTCACCATCTCTCACATTTCCTCATCTCATCCTGTAGCCCCAGGAGGAGGCAGCGCTACACATTCAGTAAAGCCCAGCGGCAGAGGCCTTTGGCTGGAAAGAGATCCAGAGATCACTGAGCTCAGCTCCTGGAGGACCGTTCATGCTGTAATCCTGTTTTTAACCGAGATCACACTGCAACACAGGTCAAGTGTTGTTCAAATAACAGGCAAACTACACTGTCGGTCTGTTTTTTATCTCAAAAGAAGGCTGCACACACCACGTATCAGAATCCATATATCCTTCAATCAATCCATTAATCAATGTGATTTATATTTGCCTAAAAAAGCTCTCATGTGCACAATCAGGTCACACAGATCAAAATCCATGCAAACAGCTCCTGAGTGACGGTGACGCCACATTCAAACAGAAAAATGCCTCCCGTGTGACAGGCATGGCTGGACAGAGGTATGCTGGGAATGAAATGAAAAACCAGGCGACATGCTCTATTGTGCTAGCTGCAGCGCCGTGTGCATTTTCTTTGTTGCTCTTTGAGTAATTACATCTCTACAAACTATTTGGTTCAGTCAAAGGTGATGAGTTTGACAATGTCAGTGAATGACAGCAAAGGGGAATAGCTTCAGGTAAGGACCAACTAGTAGGTTTAACTGCCTTGAAGCACAAAAGTGATCATAAAAAATATCTTTATTTCCTTACTTTCTAGGCATTACTGAACATTTTAGGCACACCAAATCTTCAATCTCTTACACAGTAACATCCAGAGGGGGGCAGGGTGTGAGCTTCTCTCTGTAGCTCTCCTCTGTCGTTCATTACCAAACTATTTCTGCCACTTTTTGTGTCGAAAGAAAGCAACACTATGATTATCTTTCAGGAGAGATCATCTAAAAATGTGTGTCTCTATGGTGACCAGGTTTTCACCCTGCTTTCTGATGAGGTCATGACAACCCTTTGTACGAACCAGCTCTTTCCAAGCATAAGCCCTTTTTAGATAGGAATTGTGCAAATTTGCAGGAAAGCCCAATCAGTCTTTTTTCAGCATTGGCAGTATAAAAACAAAATCAGGGAGTGCAGCAAAATGCCGCCTACCTACTTTTGTTTATACAGAATGTGCCTTTTTCGGGGCAATGGGGGGCGTGAGCAAGTAACAAAACGTGTAGCTCAGCGTGTGACGCAAACAGTGACGTGGGAGGGAAGCCGCGGCTGGTCAGTCCTTCGGCGATTCTCTCATAAGTCGGCCCGTTCTTCACCATCCCCGTCATCTGACGGTTAATGGCCTCTTCGTTTGCGAGGACAAGGAGGGCACGCAATTCCTTGTCTCCTCAGTTGCTCATCTTTACAGTGTCTGTCACGTTTGTGTTTCCTTCTTGCTACGAACTGCTCATTCCTGCTATCAGCTGTTTCCTGTTTATCCACCGCCAGCGAGTCGCACGTGCGGCGTCATCAACAGCTCCTCCCACAATTCTTCAACAGCCCCTCCCGTTGCGGAAGGCTGCCTCGGTCTGTTTAAAGTAAAAGGGTTCCACCAATATGTCTACCCTATGAGGCGGAAAATTGGGCGCCTCGGATCAACTCGCCAATCCGGCTCTGTGTCTAAACGCTCACAGCTTGCCGTTGCCGCAAGTTGGCGAGTGTTGGAGTTAAAGATGCCATAAAGATGTCTGCCTTCTCTCCAAGGTAATGGAAGTAGATGGCACTTGGCGCACTCAAAGTGCCAAAAATACATTTGAAAAACTCAACAGCAATATTTATTTCCAGAAATCATGACAGTTCCAACTGTCTGGAAAGACACATTGCTGTTGAGCTCCACAAGCCAAGTGCTATCTAGTTCTAGGCAGACTAGGCAGATACCTCCAACACTCCAACTCACACCAAAACAATCTAGACTGATAAAAGCACTACAGGTAAGAGGAAAAATATGCAATTCAGATATAGAGGTGAACTGTTCCTTTAGGAGGACGGGAGGAAACTGTGCTACACTCTCACCCTTTGGTTGAAAGAAGTTTAAGAGGCTTTATAGCTTTCCCTTTAGCTCTCGTTTCACACTGTATTTAATAATGCAACATGTTTGCGAGACTTGAACTCCCACCACAGCAGTCGCCACTGCAAAGCTACATCCTTTCAAACAACAAAACCCATCTCAAATAATTCCTGACCCCCTCCTGCTCCGAGGCAACTACCCGACCAGCCAACAGGCCTGGGGGACATGTGGAGGTGGTCGTGGAGGGACAGGAGGGGAGACCAGGCTAATAGTGAAAACAACAGTTTGACATTTAACCACTCGTTCTCTATGTTCTCCCCTCCTCTCCTCCTTCAACAAAGACGCACACTACAAGGGGCCAAAACAAGCAGATAATCTGGGTTAAAGGAGATTAGCTGTTAATAATATTTGTGAAAATCCATAGTGAAGTGTCTGAAAAAGATAAAACGCCTGTAAATCACAGACTTGAGAAATGTCTGGGGACAGACAGCTCGTCCTACAGACACATGAAAAACAGACATAAACACACATGTATGTGTACAAATGCACAAAGTTTTAAGCTTCCGTTTCCAAATCTCCGTGACATTTGATGTAAGCCTTTAACTGTTCCTGCAGGGGATTTTGTCCAGGCACAGATGCTGTAGGTTGTAATAAATGGATTTGTGTTGATCCATAAATCAATGGAAGTCTGACATTACAAGTTCACAATCAACCAGCATGACATCGCTTGCTCACAATCGACTCAGAATTGAAACTCTAAGTGAAACGGCTAAATATGGAGCAGATGTGGCCGTTACAGACGCCTCTCACTACAGAACTTTCTTTACCCCTGCTGCTGCTGCTGCTCCATCCCCTAAGGAACAATTGGCAAAATCAAGACTCGGGCTTAAAAACTAAAACACAATGTCATGGATAAAAGCCAAAAACATGCTTATTTTGGTATCTAATTTGGGGGTCTTTGCTAGTTTATTCAAAGGCCTGAACCTGCCAACATTCAGAATCCACCACATCTTGAGGAAGACGGTTATTCACATATTCAGATGCGAAGGTACTGTATTAAACAAGAATATTGCATTAATTCTTCTCCATTAGTAAGATGATCTCTGGGCAACAACATCCAGTTTTAAACCACATTAAGTCTCTTTACTGTTAATTTAATATTAGCCAGTAAAAACATGCACTCAGGGCACTTGCATGTGACTACACAGATAGAAACCTTCAGTGTCTGAAGTCATGTTTGTAATAATTTTGCTACTCAACACATTTGTTGTCATTTCTTTCACAATTTCACAGTTGTCCACATTCCTTTTGTTTTCACCAGAGGCCACGAGTTTAAGTACGAGTCCAAAACACAGAGGATCAAAGGAGGTGGTTTCCATGCCAACGGGGGCCTTAGGTTAGCTAATATGACACCAGGTGAGACAGTGATGTATGTAACACTGACCCAGGTCACAGTGTGTATGTGAATGTGTGTGTTGATGTAATGCTGCGGAGATGATGATGATGATGATGATGATGATGATGATGATGATGATGATGATAATGATGGTGGTGTTTAGGAAGGTAGAGATGAGTGATGAAGATTTGCAGATGACCTTTTTGGGGAAAATGAATGTTTGAGAGTGAGGGGTTAGATTAGTAATGGGTTAATGGTTCGAATTCTGTGATGGAAAAACACCAGAGTTTGGACTGAAAAGCAGAAGCATGTGTGTGGGGCTAAACTATATTTTACATTATTGATTAAACTGCTAATTCATTTTTCAACTTATCGATTTAATGGTCAATAACATATCGGAACACAGTTTAATAATGGCCATCACAATTGACCAAGGTGCAAGATGGCATATCCAGATTCCTTATTTGGCTCACTAACAGTCCAAAATGCAAAGATATTCAGTTTACTGTCACAGAAAGGTCAGAAAAACAGGACAATCAAATGAGAATCTTCTAGTTTTTTGTTACCTTAGAATAAGACGTTTATATCTACAGAGTGAGCAGGTCCTTGTCCATGGAGTCCGCCATGTTTCTACAGTAGCCAAGAATGGACAAACCAAACACTGGCTCTAGATAGGGCTATTTGGCTTTTTGCGTCGGTCACCGTTGTTAAGTGATTTATCAATCAATCATCAAAATAGCTACTAATTCATTTTCTCTCTATCAATAGATCGATTAATCAACTAATAGCTTCAGCTCTGCACTGATTCTCATCATGTAACAGACAAACCTGTATTTCCTTTCATGTTAGGGAAAGATCGTTGAGTTACACAGTGACAAGGTCATCACAAGTACACAAAGGACTGAGTGAGTCACAGCATGTACAGATATGTGTGTGTGTGTGAGTGAGAGAGACTCACCAGCTCATGGAGGGAGTGATCTGGCCGACACCGCCTGGAGGGAGGGAGTAGTACCCTGAGAGGTCCTGGGACTGGTGCCTGTGAACGCCTGGAGGAAACACAAACACACACACACACACACACACACACACACACACACACACACATTAACACCACCATAATCACTCTTTTCTGTCTTGCATTTGGTCACTGAGGACATCATAAGTACACACACGCTTCATGAATGTTGCCATTTCTCTGTCGTTTTGTCTTTTAAACGCACACACACTCACACACACTCGTCAGGTCACGTCCGTGGCCCCCAGCCCTGGTCCTGGGTCTGATAGGCTATTAGTACTATTAGTAGTCTGGGAACCTGCTATTGAACACAAAGATAGCCTGAACACAGGTCATCACACTCTTTTGTTCCCATCCTGTCTCAGTGCGTGTCTCAGAGTGTGACGTGAAATTGTGTCTGAGCGTGTGTGTGTGTGTGTGTGTGTGTGTGTGGGACCCTCCACTGGGAGCTGATGTCGCCAGTTGGTTTCACTGGTTTATTCTACACAAGTTAAGTTCCCACATTTGAAAAACACTCCACAGATACGAGCAGACACACACCCAAACACACACACACAAACAAACCATCTCACATTCTTCATCTCTACTTTTAGCAAAAAATGTTTTCCAACAAAAGAAACACAGACAGCTCGACTCTGTGCCCTCACACAGTAAATATCCAGTCTCTCTCTTTGTGCCCTTCAAAGGAAGTCATTTGTCAACAGGCAGCACCTAGCACTTAGCGCGGCCCGGCTGCTAACCTGTGTTTGCAGTAGAGGAATGCTCTCGATGACTGTAATTTGGCCGCGGCTCCGGGCCTGTTTCAGGACCCCGAGCCACTATAAATCTGGACGACAGGAATGTGACTGAGTCGGTCAACCTGTCTCACCACTGCGATCCTCCCTCCCCTCCCTCTGTCTGTCCCACCACGCCCTTCCTCCCTTCTCCTCTCCTCATCTTCTCTTACTGCCCTCCGCCCTTCCACTGCCCAGGCTATTTTCCTTCACGTTTCTGTGCTCCTTCACACCTCTCTTTTACCTTTTATCTCTCTTTTCCTTCCTTCCCTCCTGTTCTCACACCTTCATTACACACCTGAACTCTTTTCCTTCCCTTCGTCCAGTCACAGGATTTATCCACCCCCCGATATTAGTTTTATGGTCTCTTCCACATGTATTCTCGCCTTCATCTCTTCATCTTCACCCAGTGATGCAGCAGGCTAACTGAGCACAACAATAAATAATTAAAAGTGTTACTGCTAGTGCACGAATCAAATTTGTTTACAACGAGACAGTAATAGATTGCCAACCAAATATCAAGAGTGACTTAACTAGCTAAAAATTAGGTTTGAGCCAAATGCACCAAATGCACCAAATGCACCAAAGGCATTAAACAAACATGACCAGCTGAGGGCTTCCACCTGTAAGCTCTGTATACATTACATTACTCTATAGACATGTGGTGAATACATTTAAAGAGAGATAAGGGAGTACTAGAAGAGGGAGATGGGACTTTTGGCTCCCTGATCCCGATGGAAACATCTTCACATCACCAGTCTGTCACCGTTACATCATGGAGGAGTTTCAGACTCAGACACATAAACAAGCTTCAACATATACAGGCCTGTATCAGGGTAAATTCCACTTATTGTAAACACAGGGTTCACCCTCAGGCTGTGTTCACACTGACAGCACTGCGTGACTCCTTATTTATTTCCCTGGGAGCACTGCATTAATGCAGCGTGGCAGTGAAACAGACAAACAAACAAACAAAAATGACTTCTGGTTGGAGAAGGTTTGGTCCTGGCTCAACTTATGTGCAACACTAGTCTCTATATACAGATTCTACATTCACTGAATGTAGAGTCTGTTTGAAAGAGACTAGGCAAACCCCGGAGATCTTGCCTCCAGAAGAAGAGAGGAAGAGCCCTGGTTTCCGGTTGTAGGCTCTTTGTAGTCCGTGTGATATTGACCAATCATGCTTGAGCCGGCTGCAGTTGTTGCCAGGTTAAACAGTCCGTGCAGTGAACTAATGAGGCGGAACATAACTGGCGTCACTGCAAACTCTGAATCCATCGCAATGGTTCAGCATATTGACTCATATATAAATGGAAGTCGGAAACGGAAATTCACCTCCTCCACCCAAATCAAACCGGAATGCCAAAAAATCGGGGGTCTGCCCCCAGAGGCTGTATCGCCATCTGCCGAAAGTCAGACGCCGAATACAGCCGATGGGTTCCGAGAATGGTGCAACACAAACAGTGCAACATTATTTGGCAATGCATCACTTCGGCCAATCGAATACGCGCAACATTTTGCATCTGTAGAGTTAAAAATGGAAGAGCCATTTCTTATTTCTCATAGATAATATTACATACGTCACAGTTGAAGCACTTCTATGCTGCAGATGAACATGACACTCACCTATCAAACCATCAGAAGATTACCAACTGCATCAGAAAATATATGGTGCTTTGACACAGAGATAAGATAAAACTTTATCTATCTATCTATCTATCTATCTATCTATCTGTACAAGCCTGTTTACAAAAATCTTCAAAGTAAAAGTAAACTACAACTCCCAAGGTGCATATCTGCCAAAACATCCAATTTAGTAACAGATTATTCTGTTAAGAAGCCTGAAAACACAATCTACAGCTTAAATTCTGAATTGAAAATTTTTATTACGGGTCAATTTTGAAACAATGGCAGCACTTTTTATTCTCAAGTTCAAGAACAGGGCGTTTTGTATTCTCTGCTGCTCTGATTGGCGTCTTTTCAGTAGCAACAGTAGCTGAGGCTCGTGGGTATTGTAGTAGTACTGTATGAGACATGCCAAACTGACGGACAAAACACAATTTCTCAGAATTTAAATTGAAATAATTTAAGTTGAAGCTCTTAGCATACACCGATATGACTGTGACATTTTTGAGGACAGTCCCATGTTGAGAGCATTGTTCAAAGAAAAATTTGATTGGGGAATAAAGTGGGGAAGAACGCTCAACTCTAGGTAGAACATCTTGTAGCATGTAGCTTGTAGAACTGTGCAACTTCAGCAGTTTACCTTGCCTGCACTTAAACAAAGAAACAATTTGCTGCGAACATACCGTAATCGCTGTAGTCCTGCCTTAAAGGTGAATGTATAAACAGCTGCTTGTATCTGCCTTCAAACTGGACATGAACACAACCAACACACCATTTTGTTGCTTTGCCAGAGGGCTATCAAGAGTCTGAATGTGCCCTTAGGCTAGTATGGATTTTTCTGTCTATGTTAATACTGCAGAGGATAAAAGTGAACTGAAATAGCTTTTGATTAAACCTCAGATGATCTCAACAGACTGCCCCATTAAAGCATTTATAATAGATATCAACTGTGAAGAATACTGATGGATAGCAGCAATAATAACAATGAATGTTGGTACTTCTTTTGATACCGAGATGATGAACTTAACATCCTTTTTCGAAATCACCCGTGTTCCCTGAAATGACTGTGTGGATAACATCAAAACAGCGATCCTAAGCAGTTTTATTTTGACTGTTGATCAGTCACACTTGAATGTTTTGGAAACATGACACCAGTTTCTGTAAGTCACGTTTTTGCAGCCTTGTTTGTTGTTGGGAAACCTGCAGGGGAAAATTAGCGGCAGTAATGGGGCAGTTTTCTTTGGAATGCCCCTTTTAAAGCAGCCGTATAATGACAACTAAAGCAACTATCTCACGCTCTCCAGCATCTCGGGAAACAACTTAAAAGGGAAACCATTTGAGTCAAACCCGGCTCTGAGCTCAGTATCACAATGTGTGCATGTTATACTGAGACTCGAGGAGCTGAAAATAGTATTCCTGCACTGATAATGTGCTGCGGTGGTTATAACCACTGAGAGTGAAAGTGCTGCAGCATCTGAGCCTTTAAATGACTTGACAAGCAGCCTGTGTGGTGTACATAAAAGAGCCCAAGACCAGAAGAAACTTTGTAGTTTTGTCTTACAGTAAGGGCGGTAATGAGTGCTGAAAAATTTTACTCAAGTGCAGAAACTTTACTTTTGTTAAGAGCAAACATCAAACGTCACAGTAATAGCACAAGTCCTTGTTTTTTACAGTGTAAAACTACCGATTACGCCGATATGAGTCTTAATTTTTATCTTATTATTCAACACATTTCATTTCAAATACAGTTTCCCTTTTACTCCATGCTGTTTTTAAGTAGAGTGACTCACACTCTCACCATCAGTCATCTGAAGAATAAACACAGGGTACTTTTTATTTGGTTTTCTCTAATTAAAAAGGAAACAAATTATTTCAGAAATTAGTTAAGCAATTGTAATAGCAAGAGCAACGGTTATTAGAGATTTTAAGCTAAGAATTGAAACCTAAAACTGAAACGTGATATTTCAAACTGCTCTCACAAACATAGAAATGAAAGAAAACAGATCTGACTTAAAAATAAGGCTGCCATTATTCTATACAAATCCAATGAAAACATACTGAACTAACAACGAATAAGAAAACTGCACTCAGTAGTACCAGGTGACTACAGCCCAGTTTCCACCAAGCAGTACAGTACAGTTCAGTTCAGTTCGGTGAGCGTTTTTTCCGTTTCCATTGTGGAAAGTTGTGGATGGCACCAATGGAACCATTCAGTGATGTCCCCATTTTTGGTCCCCCCTCTGTTGGGGTACCTAGCACACAGATCTGGTACTAAAAGGTGGAGCTGTGAACACTGCAGTCTGTTGATTGGTCAACAGTGAACGATCACTCTGGTCAGAGCCGAGCCACTGTTCCTATCATGGAGAGTTTTATCAGTAAACTGTAACTATAAAATGAAAGGATGTTTTGCTGCCTCTCACAGCAGCTGTAGTCAGAGAAAAATAATTCAGTGGGCCGGCTGCCAGCGACTTTTAAAGTGGAACGTTTACTTGTAATGTTACTTGATGCGTGAGTTGACGACTTGAATCCATCAGCACACCTTAAAATTTAATGTGACAACTTTGACCATTACTTTAGTTTTTATTGTCTCTCTTCGATGACATACACTTTTAGTAATAAGTGGATCTTAAAG